AATTCGGGGGTTCACTACTTTCGCCCAAGTGAAGCAACTCTTTAGCTCTTTTGAGTCTATTTCCTTTCTTGCACTTTTTGGAATTTCAATGGCTTTACCCCGAGCACATTTTTCAATATTTGTCACCGGCCATGGTGATGGTGTGGGCCGCCATAACAGCCGATGGTCGCTCTCCGCTCGGCCGTTTGAAGGCCATAATTCGTGCCAAAGGTGACCAATTCGAACAAATTTAATCTTATTCCAAAATTTGATGCTATATCCGACAGTTTTGCTTTCATTCAATAAAATTGAAAAAAAATGTAAAAATTATGGCATTAGACTTTGTTGCAGCTTTTTTATCTCTGTACCCTGTATATCAATCTGAATCGACTTTTAAGAACCGATTGAGAGGAGTACTTCTGGGCTGTATCTAATATCTGGTACCAAAAATCATTGTTGTGGAGTGCTATATGTGAACCGATGTTTACCAAATTTGAAGCACGAATTCTAGACTGAATTCGGTCGGATGTGCCGAAATACATTCTTTTTGGACGAATATTACACATATGTCACAAAATAAAATTGAAATCGGACGAAGATATGTATGGGGCCAAACAAATGATCAAATCTCAATCGAACAACAAACGGGACTTGTACTTTGTTTACAAAAATACATGGACAGATCGACTCAGAATGTAATTCTGTGGAGATCATTAAAAGGAAATATGAGTCTATTTCCTTTCCTTTTTAATCAAATGCACAAACATAAAATACTCTGTACCACAGTGTGGCATAGGTTATAATTAGGTGTCATACAACTAGAGGTTGGTCAAAAATGGTCAATATAATTATTATTTTTTTTTTCAGTCAGTGTTAGTCCAGTACTCCTGTTTTTCTTTTGTTGGGAAGAAACATTATCTGCCTTTCGTTTTCAAAAATACAAGCCACACGTGTCAGAACCACTTGATTTTATGTGTTCGCAGAATCTAAAATGTCTTTCATTATGAAGGGTTTAAAATTCTTGACCAAATTGGGGGTTGCCAAAGTTCTTCATATCAATGGACTGTATCAAAGTGCCATTCACTTCAGATGTTTTGTCCAGCGGTATTATAAAAAACCGGCCATGTCCATTGCGATAAAGCCACACTTGCTGAAAACATTGTTACTAATTGTTCATAATGGAATAATGAATAGAAACTTGAAAACAATTTGATAATTTTTATTTAAACGTTTTCTTATCGTGATCGAAAATGAATGATGGAAAACGAAGCAAAACAAGTCAAATCGCGCATTACTGTCATATGAAAGTCATAATTAAACACGAATTTATATCGGTTTGGAAACTTCCCAGAACACATTTTGCTAAAATTGATAAGTTACATTTATCTATAATATGAAAACATTTCGACGAAAGACCCTTCAAAATCTTGCACAGTAGTTCAAAATTCTATTGGAAAAGCTCAACTTTTTGGTATTACAGACATTGTTTCAAAACATTATTGCATACCTTGACTGTTTGTTTGAGTTCTTCTTAATAGAGGCGCACAGGACGCAACCGGACATCGAAAGATGTTAAAATAACTCTTTAAAAATTTGCAAATATTTTGCTTGAAACTTTCAACTAATCCCAAACCATTAGGTTCTTCCAGATAGAAGCTTTATCAAATAGTGAACCTATGCTAGCAATTTTCTCAAGGACCCTGATTTTGCAGCTTTAGTCCATTGTTAATAAAAATTATAGTAAAAATAAACCATTTAATTTATAGAAAACACAATATTTTTTTACCACCACGGTACATTAATTTATAACAGACCTTCCTAATACCTGACGTACGCCTTCGACGTACCACAGAGTGAATATTACCAAAATATGTAAAATTTTCAAAGTTTGTATATTTCCACTTTAACAGAACTAATATAATAATAGAAACAAGTAAAAAATCACCAGCTGAAGGAAACTTGAAATTTTTCAAAAAAAAAAAACCGTCGAAATATACCGCTTTAATAAAAATCATTATATGGAGCTATACGAAGAAGCTACACGACGTCATAAGCTTTAGCACCGTTTCCGAATTTCAAATACGAAATAGAAACTATTCCAAAACAAAATAAAGGCAGGTACCGTTGTATGTGTGCTAGACGTAGGCCTTTGTAGACCATTCCCGTCATAGTTTGTTAACCCATTCAGATCTTCAAATACGAAATTTGAAACAATGTCGCTAAAATCGCTATACGAAAACGTGGACCTGCATAAGTAAATTTTTTTATTGGCTGTAGTACCCACTACGAACATTAACTACGAAATTGGTAATAATTCCGGTCGATAATCTCCCTAGAATCATTAAAATACCGAATATTGGGAGGTACCGTCATATGGGGGCTATACGAAAACGTGAACCGACATGAACCATTTACAAACTTAACCTGAGTACGTACTCAGAATAATACACATTTTTTTGCTTTTGTGGTTGTCTTAAAGATAAAGACCTTGCGTGTTAGGGTAAAACGGGAGCGTGAGTATTTTGACACTGTGGGTCGGGTATTGGGTAGGCCTATAAGGAATATGAATAATTTACAACAACTAACAATTTTACATTAACAACATTTTTGTTGCAGGCAATAAATGACCAATCAAAGAAACTCAAAAATAGACTCTTTTTTGAAGCAATAATTTGAACATCAGTTTCTATTTTTATAGTTCGCTCAATATTGAAGAAATGTAATTTGCATTAAATTGTTCAAAATTTAAGTCAATTTGGACGGGTCTCATTAAATTCTTACAAACTAACTTAGGAAGGAACTTGGAAAATATAAAAAAATCCATTGAAAAGTTCTACTTAAATTTTAATAATTCCGAAAATCAGGACTATAAGAAAACCTGGACCAATATTATCTATTATCTGCTATCGTTGGCGGTGCCTATTACGAATATGAGGACTATGCAAAGACTTGGATCCACACAGACAATTTTCTGTTATAGGAATTAGTACCCATTGTGAATATCAAATTCCTAAATTGAAATAATTCCGGTGAAAAGTGTAGCTGAAATCAACAAAATTCCGAACTATATCTAAAAGCATTTAAATGCGAATAAATCTTTGGTGTCTCGTACCATCGCTCGTTGCTGTGATACTCGTAGCGTAGCTCGACGTCAAGGAAGTGGACGGAAGAGACAGCAACATCAGCAGAAATGGTTCGAAAAGTAAAGAAGCGAAGCGACTTGATCGAACCCCGCGTCGCAGTGGCACATGAGTTGAACATATCGCAATATTCCATTCTTCAAATGTTGAAAAATGAGCTCGGGGTAAAACCATTGAATTTCCAAAAAGTGCAAGAACTTACACCGCAATAGAAAAAAATAAACTCAAAAGATCTGAAGAGTTGCTTCGAATTTGGTTTTATCCGATGAGAAAACATTCGTTGTCCAGCAGTTTGTAAACAAACGAAATTATCGTGTTTCCTTGCCAAAGAGGTCAGCTGAAAATGTGCACCTTCGCTTGGCCACCAGAACTCAATCGCCGGCCATGGTGATAGTGTGGGCCGCCATAACTGCCAATGGTCGCTCTCCGCTCGTATTAATCGACCTTGACATCAGAATAAATACTGAATATAGGTGTGTCTGGTTACTTTTCCTGCAGGAATTGTCCAGCAAAATCTTTCTAAGAGAGTAAGGTAGTTTTATTCTCTTTTGCAAGGAAAATGCGAAAAGTAAACAGACGGTATTCCTGCAAAAGCTTGCAACTAATCAGCTGATTTGTCAAAACAAACCAATTTGTCCCCTATTATAAGAATAAAAAGAAAGGAAGCACCACCAATTTTACAAGTTTTTTTTTAAATAAAAAGGAAATTAGCAATTAAACAAAAATATGAGCAATAAAAGAATGATAGATTTTATGTGTTCCCCGGAGCCCTTTTAATTTGTTACTAATGGCGTTTGTCTAAAAACCTTCGAAATAGACTTTTATTTTCTTATTTTCTTATTACATATTAATATTTACGTTTTTCACATTTTGTAAAGTTTATCTCAAAAAACAATTATATAAAAAATTGAAAGCACAAAAAGAAATAAACAAACAATAGAAAACATCTGATTGAATGCCGATGAATGTGAAGAAGAAGAGTTGCAAGTGATTGCAAGAAGAAATTTGTCCAGCAAGAATTTGCAAACTCTCACTGAAAGAACTGTCAAAATTTCTCTCTCCGACCGCTCTCTTGCAGAACTTTTGGGTTAACAGACGACTTCCAGTAACAATTTGTAACAATTGTTACAAATTTTAGGGTAACCAGACACACCTTATTATAGCGAAAATATTCTGGAGGGTGTATTAAAGCCTTGAGCTCGCCAACATTTTACAAAATTCATTTCCAGCGCACATTGCCCACCAAAATCTCCGGATACCAATCCTTTGGACTATTGTGTCTGGAGTATTTTGAAAAGAAAGGTTGGCTCTAAAAAATACCAAAGAGTCGATCACCTCAAGCAAGCGCTTCGCCGGGAATGGACCAAAATACCGCAGAGCAACATTTGGGCAGCGTGTGACGTACAAATCTAAACTTATTCTAAAATGTGATGCTATTTCCGTCATTTTTTGCTTTCATTCAATAAAATTTAAAAAAAAATTAAAAATTATGGCATTTGACTTTGTTGCATTTTTTGAGGGTAATTCATAGTTACAAACTTAACTTTGATTTACATAAAAATAATTGATTGTGTACCACTGTGGGTCGATAATACCTTCCATGGAAACTGTTTTTTCATGCTTAACAATTTAGTTGCACCGGATCTCTCTCTCTCTCTCTCAATTTTTCGCATTGCAGCAATTAATATAGTCATTTAATAAATAAACATTCACACATGTGTATGTGTGTAAATGGGAAGACATTACACGAGACTGCTTAATTAACTGCTTTTGTGACGACAACAAAGCATTTTCAATTTTCTTCAAAAGTGCTGACAGTGAAAAGCCAAGCCAAAAGATTGTACCTACCTCGGCTTGCATTGGATGTAATGAAAGACGGCGTTTGGAATTGAATTGAATTATTTTATTAAAACTACAGTTGGCATATTTAAGACACATTTCAAGAGTTGCCATTAACAATTGACAATTTGTTTTGAGCTTATGTAACGGTAATACAAGTCAGGCATTCTTTGCATAAACATCTCAATTTCAAAATATGTATGTATGTATTTTTGTACATAGTATATGAATACAGACAGTAAGCAGAACGCAGCTTAAATAACTCGATCTACTACTTTCAGTCTTTAGGTTAGACTTAGCTATCGATAAATGGCTTTCTCTATTTATGAATTTGATGAACACTTTGTGCTCTGCCAGAGGGATCTTCGGGACACCCCCAGTCACGACGTGGTACCCACCGAGTGACGGTTTTGGCGGCACTTTCGCCTGGAAACATTTCTTCGAATATGCTGCGATAATAGTAGGCCTCCTTGGTAGTAGGGGTGTTGACGGGGTACTTTTCTGAGGCTTTGGCAAACTCAGCATCGGAGACATGATCTGTTGCCACGCGACGAATGTTGTCTATCCAATTGTAACCCACTCCGTCGGAAAATTGTTCTTTCTGACGCCACAGCACCTGATCCGGCAGATAATTGTCGGCAAATGCTGCCCGCAAAATGTGCTTCTCGATTCGATACTTCTGCTGGCCTTCGAAACAATTGAGGTCACCGGGTATTTTGTCTTCAGGTCTCACCGACATAACATAATTTACAAAAGCCGTATCCAGGAATGGCACACGCAACTCGATGCCCTTGGCCATTGACACCTTATTGGATCGCAGACAGTCGGAGAGGTGGAGTTGAGAGACCCGCTTTACCAACTCCTCGTGGAAGTCAGTGCAGTTGGGAGCATTAAAGAAATACAGATAGCCACCGAATATTTCGTCGGCCCCCTCTCCGGAGAGTATCATTTTTATGCCGGTACTTTTGATGTAACGCGTCAGCAGAATCATGGGTAAACTGCAGCGCACCGTCGTCACGTCATAGGTCTCCAGGTGGTAGATCACGTCACGAATGCCGTCCAGTGCATCTTCTATTTCAAAGATGACCTCTCTGTGATCGCTGCCTATGTACTCGGCTACCATGCGAGCTGCTTCGAAATCTGGAGCCCCCTTTAGACCAACCGAAAAGGTTTTGAGGCGATAGCTGGGATCACGCTCTCTCTGGAGTTTTGTTGCAATGGAAGCAATTAAGCTGCTATCTACGCCACCGGAAAGTAGGGCACCAAAATTAACATCGCACTGCAAATGCGATCGAACCGCACTCTCAAGAGCTGCCCTTAGTTGACACAAGTCTGCGCTCATCGATGGCGTTTCGTACATCCAAGTCGGTCGGAAATAGGTGCTCTTAATCAGATTGTCCGCTTTGCCGTACCGCAGTTCGCCTGGTGGGAAAGTTTCCACCTTAGGACATACATCCACAAGGCATTTCAATTCGGACGCCACCCAAATATTGCCATCAACATCTTCGCCGACATACAATGGGATTATTCCAAACGGATCTCGGGCAATAAGAATGGTTTTTTCTCGCTTATCGTACAAGACGAAAGCAAACATGCCGGTTATATGATCCAACAACAGTTCGCCGTATTCCTCGTACATCTCGATGATGACACTGCAATCACTTTTTGGCTTGTAGTGACCACGTCTCTTGGCAATTTCAGCGGACAGTTCTAGATAATTGTATATCTCGCCGTTTGCCACCAAAATCACATTTTCGTTTTCCGAATACAGGGGCTGGTGTCCAGTTTCGACTTCAAGAATTGCCAAGCGTTCGTGTATCATAAGAACACCATGGTCCGGCAGATAACATACCCCAGTGTAGTCCGGGCCTCGATGTCTCTGTTTGCCACTCTGTCTATATCCAATTTCGCGCAATGTGTGGACTCGTCCGTAATATGTTTTTGGCTGGATACACTCTCCATCCTTGGAGAAAATAGCAAATATTCCGCACATTGTTCGTAAGTTTTTATTTTGAATCGAAAACGATTTGAATCTTCTTCCCACTTCAATACAAAGTCCACAAATAAATACGGAACACACGCCGACTGAGTGTCAAGTTCGATGCTAACTAAAGTTGTGTCAATGCTAGCGGCGTCTTTTTAAAGAAGATCCATGCCAAACAACGCTTTGCTTGTGTGTTTATCTGTTTTGATTGTCTCTTTCCACTTGCGAGAGTAGTAACGGAGAGGTTGCGTTCACTTCTCGAATGAGCGGGTAGAGTCTGAGAATGATATCTTTCTTGACGGTATTTCATCAGACAATTGGTCGGAACAAAACACTTCTCTCTCATACCAGTTGTTCACACATACACATACACACGTCCATACATACATTAATGTTTATACCTCACTTGTATCTTTCGAATACCATTTTTATCGGCCAGACACGGAAAACTATTGTTGGCTCTGGTTGTTTTGTTGTTATGAGAATTTCTGTGGGAAAGTACAGTAGAATCCGCTTAAGCAGCACCATTCACATTGATTTCGTTTTAGCTACCCGAAGTAAGCAATTTAGATACCACACATATTTTTGACCAACATAAGAATCTATTCCGATGTTTGTCCATGTAAAATGTACAAATGTACGGAGTTGACCCGCTCTACCATCATTATACCCTCCGAGGTAAGATTGATGTACAAATGTACGCAAATGCATATTTAACGTTTTATAAGAGTAATAATTATTCAAAATGTTGGCCCTTTGTGGGGGAGGTACCAGATATTGATAAATGCCGCTAAAATTTTAAAAATTCTGTGTCTCAGGTGCTAATGTTACATAGGGCAATAATAAAACGTGGACCACTTTTATCAATTGAACGCTCGGTGTTTGGTGCCTATTACGCATCCAAATACGGAATATTGGGAGATACCGTATGAAGATTTTCTGGCAGTGGAGATAATATGATATTACGAACTCCAAATGCCAAATTTTGATACAATTTCGGTGAAATATGTGAGTCCAGTTATATGGGATCTATACCTAAACGTTGATATACAGTTCTTTGCAAATATGTTTCCTACAACTGACAGAAAGTTCTGTTCAAAAATATGATTAAAACAGCCAAAACTGCTTGAATCTGGCGTTATAGGCATTAGGGGGTTTTATCAAAATGTGGACCTAAATGGCAACTTTTCAATACCAAAAATTCAATGCATCTCAACAAATTTTTATTAACCTACTCATTGACAGAAAAACGGACGGACATGGCTAAATCGACATAAAGCATTATGCTGATGAAGAATATATATACTTTGTGGTATCTTAAACCTGACTTTATCGCGAATTTAACAGGGAGACAGACATCGTCTAAGAATTTCATGCTGATCAAGAGTAATATACCTATAGGATACAAAAATGCAAATGGATATAAATGCTACCCGAAAGCATCTACTTGCCTGAACACAGAAATCATAAGTCCAACCCTATCCGTTTACGCAATACCATTGCACAGTGGTCGCTGCCATTGGCCAAAATTCAAAAAATGAAAATCAGATATTTATTGTCAATTGTGTACAAATGAACTCTTAAGGGGTTAAGCTTTTTAGAAAACATAATAATCTTGGCTTCATTCTAACGAGACACTTCGAAAATAGCATCAAAAAGGAGAAAATATAGTTAGTTGTTTTTTTCAGTGGGATCCGAGAAAAAGTGGAGTAAAGATAGAACTGTATTACAAAATTAAATACATTTTAAAATTACAAATCTTGGCATCATTATTGAAAAGCAAGGTATTAACTTATTTTTAGCGCAGTAATTTGTGTGTTTAGTATATGTGTATAATATAGAAGATGTGTGCGTTCTGAGTTGCCTTTAAGATTAATTTTGAAAATAAAATTAGATTTCAGTTAAAGTTTTAATTGTTTTCCCCCCTGAATCCTCCAATGTGATTTTTTTCACGCCATTAGTAATGGTCCTAAGATTCTAAAAGTGCTAATTTAACTTTCAGATTTTGTCAGATGTGTACGTTATGCCCAATATACTGAAGTGACTTCGCTGCAATTTTGTCAGTTCTATGGTGCTAGTGAAATAGAATATGTTATTGTTGTTAGGGATTGATAAGGATGTAATTGAGGGGTGTTCAATAATGTTGCAAGCATTGTCCTCTGGGTATAATATTTATGTCGAAAAATTCAAGGCCTTTCCAATGGAAACTGCTAAAGAGGTTATAAATTTATATCCATGGCAATATCTTCCAAGTTTCGACAACAAACACAGATCTTATTAACAGTCTTCTTCTGAGCTCTGACCCTTTTATAATGGGACAGCGAACGTTTCGAACCAATAACCAGTACAGAAAGTCTTAAAGTCGAGGGGCCCGCTTCATGATACCCTACACCACTTTGCATGTTTAGTAGAGCGTCACATAACAAATACAGGTTTTAATGGGGAATTTGTGAGAATCATACCAACAATGATTATAGTAATAATTAAAAGTCCAAAGGAACTAATATATGGGAGGAATATCCTCCTCTGAATCGATTTCTATTAAATTTGTCGAGGCATCTGCGCCTTCTCAATTCGGGCTTGTATTATCCATTTGGTGCACAATTAACTTGAAATCGGATAGATATATATGAGAGCTATATCTAAATTTGATTTGGGCTAATGTTACACGTTTGGTGCACAATAAAAGGCAAATCGGACGAAGATATATATTTGAGCCATGTCCAAATATTAACAGATCTCCATAAAATTTAGAAAGTGTATTTCTGAGTTATACTTGATATATTTCCCGAAATATCGTTGTCACAGAGTGCATATTACGGCTGCGGAGGACAAAAATAACAAATCGGATGAACAATATATATGGGAGCTATATATATATATATATGAACCGATTTCGATCAAATTTGGCATACTTATTTTCAGGTCCCATCTGGTCGTACGTATATTCCATACTATTTGGGCTGATATTACAAGTTTGGTGCACAATATAAGGCAAATTGGGTGAATATATATGGGAGTTATACCTATATTTCAATAGGGTCTTAAGTCAAACTAATTATTTGTGCAAGATTTATCTTTGATTTAATTTTACATTATATTGTTATTTTATTTTGTTTACAAAAAATAATCAAATTTGGACTTGATTTGTGTAAAAAATGCTTCTATTTTTGGAAGTACCTTACAAGGGACTCTACCTGATGGCGGGCTGTTCCAAATAATTTTCAGTAAGATTATTTTTTAGCTCCTTAGAACGTAAAATGCCAAATAACATTACAATCTGGTGTAGAAATGTGACAAGAATTGGGCAAATAACCCTTATTCGGGAGGTACGTTATATGGGGACCATGCCAAAACATGCATCGACCATATCCATTTTGTCACATTTTTTATATTTATCCCATCAAGGTACCATAACCAAAGATTCATATTGATATCTGCACTGAAAGTATTTTTGGCCGTTGTTCCCATACGACCTCGACCACAGTGCATTGGTACCATGGTACAATGATATCAAGGTATCATATGATACCATATGATTTTAATTTTTTATTTTCTTGGCTTAATATGTCATTTTTATTTGTTTATGTATGTTTTCTTTCAATAATGCTTATGTATGTTTTCTTTTCAATAACAAAAAAATTGTTCAGAAAATATTCAAATTCGGGTGTTTTCAAAATGTTTCAAAAATCTAGAATTTATGTAGCGAAATAATCCTTTAGAGATATATAGAACCTGGTTTTGAAAAGAAGTGTTGACCTTTCATTCAGTTTTTCCGGTTTTCAATTATTTATTCAAAATAAATGCAACAAGTTGTTTGATTTTTTTTATTGTTTTTATACTAATTCTGACATAACAAGCCAAACAGGTAGACCTCTAAACTTGCAATTTTTTTGGCCTACCTTCTCTTCATTGTACCATGATTGGTATCAAATTTAAATTACTTTTCCTTTTGTTCAACTTTAATATGAATTAAGTACTTTATGTGCAAATATATTCCAAATTTGCCAAACCATCTTCTTAACTTCACTCTACATTTCAAGTAACAGTTCTGGCTGATTACGATTGCTCAATTACAAATAAATTACAAATTTGTAGCACTTTGTGTACTAAAGGAGTAATACAAAAAGTATCGTTTCGTACAAAATTTAGATTGTTGTGGCACAAATTTCACAAAATTCCGCACCAATGTACCTCGTGTTAAAGTTTAAGTTATTGCTAATTGCTCAAGTACATTTTATATCCTTCTGGTTAAAATTTAAATAAATTGAGTTTAATATTATATATAGAGAATGTATGTTTGGATTGAAGAATATTGTTTTCATTTTCAAAATGAAACTCTTTCAATCCGCTAAATAGAGTTGTCAGAAAACTCTTTAAAAGTTAGCCTGCTCATGATTGGAGGCCTTAATGGAAATTTCCATTGACATTCGCCAAAAATATTGTTCAATATTAATGACAGATTACCACGCGTAGTTGGGCCAGTGCAATATTGGAGATTGCGCTAACGAAACATTTCTGAGAACTTCAATGTGCTATTTCATTTTGATTGGTAGAAAAGCTTGCTTGCAATTCCTTAACTTCAAAATACGAATCGAAATTGGCTAGATTGGATGAATTTGGGGTACGATCGGTACGACAGTTAATCGGAAAAGATTAGACTGTATATCTTAGGTTGTATTATCTGGAATGGGGGAAAGAAACTTGTAAACATATATGCTGATAGGGATTAAAAAAATAAACATACGTTTCATTAGGTTCACGCGTTTATATAACGATACTGTGTAGTTTTTCGATCTTCGTTTAGGTTCGCTGTCATATATACTTTTATTCGGTCTCTTCGTCGCTATCTGGCAAGCCTCCAATATATATGTCTTCCTTTAGTTCCAAGTGCAAATTCTTTGGGCCAAAGTTTATATTTGACATTTTCGAATGTTTTCGATAATGAATTTAAGCCCTTTAGAAAACCAAAAAACGATTTAGTGGTGCTGATATTTAAGACATAATCGGTCAAACATGAAACTCCTTCGCTTATAGCATACATGACAGAGAAAATTTAGGGAAAAGGTAAAGTGAGTTCTATGGGAAAGAAAGGGGTTGAATGAGGACTCATGTTTCCCTCCAGCAAACTTTCCCTGCCTAATTAAGGTATTAGTAGTCAAATGTTGTATGAATTAGAGTGGGTATTAAGATAAACAAGTAAAAAACCTGTAAGTTCGGCCGGCCGAACTTTGAATATCCTCCACCATTTGGAACTAATTTAAAAATTAAATAATAATAATAATAATAATAATAAAAATAATAATAATAATAATAATAATAATAATAATAATAATAATAATAATAATAATAATAATAATAATAATAATAATAATAATAATAATAATAATAATAATAATAATAATAATAATAATAATAATAATAATAATAATAATACCAATAATAATAATAATAATAATAATAATAATAATAATAATAATAATAATAATAATAATAATAATAATAATAATAATAATAATAATAATAATAATAATAATAATAATAATAATAATAATAATAATAATAATAATAATAATAATAATAATAATAATAATAATAATAATAATAATAATAATAATAATAATAATAATAATAATAATAATAATAATAATAATAATAATAATAATAATAATAATAATAATAATAATAATAATAATAATAATAATAATAATAATAATAATAATAATAATAATAATAATAATAATAATAACAATAATTATAATAAAATCCGTTAATAATTCTGCTTAAATCGTAAAAATACCGAATGTAGCCTTTATATTAGGGTCTATACGAGGACGTGGATCTGCATAGGCAACCTTTGTCATAAGACATTACAATATTCAAATGCAAAACTTGAAAAAAAAAATCGGTAAATAATGTAGCTAAAATCATGAGAATACCGATCACCAAAATACCATTATATGGGAGCTATACCAATACGTGGACCTACATGACCCATATTCAACACCAAAAGTCCTGCAGACATTTGACATACACATTTGAGTAAAATTTTATCAACCTACTTTATTTCGTTCGGAAGCTAGAGTGATTTCTGCAGACGGACGGAAGCCGGTTAATCGACATAGAATTTTATGCTGATCAAGAATATATACATTTTGTGGGGTCCAAAATGTATATTTCGAGGTGTTACAAACGGAATAACAAACTTATATACCCTCCATACTATGGTGGAGGGTATAACAACAACTCTAACAACAAAGTTTTCCCGCGATTCGTTCGAAAACAATACAGCTCGGCAACTCACAGCCGAAGTACATTTAGGCAACCGTATTGTTTGTGTACTTCTGGTATTGAAATGTTTGTGGTTTTGTTTGGTTTGGATTACAAAACGATTGAAAACATGTAAAAAGGCAGAATTGCAAACAACCGAAATAAAATTTGAGTCAAATCGGCCTAGTCGTTCCTTATTGGTGGACAACTATACATTTTCTTAACCATTTTCCATAGATTGATTTACATATATTTTCCAACGCTTTATTCTTTTTTGATGGATTCGACACAAAAAAAAAAAACTTTTGACCCCAGGAGAGATTTTTGCTGACATAGGTCATTGCTTATCCTTTTAGGTAAAAGAATAAATGCATTTGACGGTGTCATAGTTCAAATTGGGTGCATCATTAACTTAACTATTTATGTGTTTACCTCTTGATAACTGTGGTTGACCTTGACTTTAACAATATATATGTTAAACAGTTGCCTTTAGTCTGTGGTCAATGCAAGGCGAGGATAATATATTTTTATAAATTATTTATATTACACATATGTGTTTTAAAGATATTCTTTTAGCCTATTTTCGTGGGCCTCTTGAGCTCTTCCTGACGGATCTTCGGGACAACCCCAGTCCAGGCGTGGCGCCCATTTCTCCACGGTTAACGCTGGCGACTCACCGGGAAACATATCTTCAAATATACACCTGTAGTAATAGGCCTCCTTCGTTGTTGGAGGATTAATGGGAAATCGCTGCGAGACATTTGCAAATTCGGCGTCGGTGACACGTTTTGCAGCAAACTTGGGTAAGGCTTCGATCAAATCATAGCCGACGCCATCGGAAAATTGCTCCTTTTGTCTCCACAACACCTCCGGTGGCAAGTAATTCTTATCGAATGCTTTCCTTAAGATGTACTTCTCCATGCGGTGGTCTTGAATGCCTGAATAGCAGTTCAAGGCACCCGGTATTTTGTCCTCAGGTCTAATTGACATAACGTAATCGACGAAGCTTGTGTCTAGAAATGGAACTCTAAGTTCTAAGCCCTTGGACATGGTCACTTTGTTGGCCCGCAGAATATCGGATACATGTAGCTGGTCGAGGCGCGTTACCATTTCTCGGTGAAATTCACCGTACGTTGGTGCCTTGAAGAAATACAAATAACCTCCGAAAATTTCATCTGCTCCTTCGCCCGACAGGATCATTTTAATGCCAGTACTTTTGACGTAACGCGCCAAATAGAACATCGGCAAACTGCATCGAACAGTGGCAATGTCGTACGATTCCAAGTGATAGATCAGATCCCGGACTCCATCAAGACATTCTTCCACCGTAAAAATAACTTCGGTGTGGTCACTGCCGATGTAATCGGCAACCATGCGTGCGTGTTTGAAATCTGGAGAGCCCACCATGCCGACTGAAAAGGTTGGAAGGCGATAACTAGGGTCCCGCTCTCGCATGATTTTCGTAGCAATGGAGGCAATCAGACTGGAGTCAACACCGCCCGAAAGGAGAGCTCCAAATGATACGTCGCACTGCAAATGACTACGAACCGCGCCTTCTAAGCGTTTCCGTAACTCAGCTATATCCGCCAGTTGGTTTGGTATTTCAGTTTGCCACGGCCTTACAAAGAAGGGCTGAGGATTGAGGTTATTCGGGTCGCCCATTGCAAAATGGCCGGGCGGAAAGTTCTTGATATTTTTGCAATATTCAATCATGCTCTTCATCTCGGAGGAGATCCACAAATTTCCCTCCACATCCTGTCCAATATATAGCGGCATAATACCGAAGGGGTCGCGGGCGATCAGCACACGTTTTCGGTTCTCATCGTACAGCACAAAGGCGAACATGCCCTCAATGCGGTCCAACAAGTGTTCCCCGTACTCCTCGTACAATTCGATGATGACATTGCAATCGCTTTTGGGCTTGTAGTTGGGTCGGTTTTTCGCTATGTGTTCACTTAATTCCAGATAGTTGTAAATTTCGGCATTAGCCACCAATGCCACAGCACCATCTTCCGACAACAGGGGTTGTTTGCCAGTTTTTACACCAATGACTGCCAGACGTTCATGCACCAAAGCAACGCCGTGCTCCGGAATTACCCTTACTCCCGTCTCGTCCGGACCACGATGTCGTTGTTTGCCACTCTGGCGATAGGCCAGTTCCCGCAGTGTCTGCGAACAGCCACAGTAGTTCCTTGGAAGGATCCCTTGGCTATCCTTCGATAGAATAGCAAAAATTCCACACATAATTCCGTGCGCCTTGATTCTTAGATTCGTACTTGTTTCGGAGACGTAGTTTAACCAACTGAAGATCGACTGAGCTCCATCTCACATTTCGAAACTTTTTATACTTGGCCATTGGGAGCGAAAAAAAAATTAATTAGAACATTATTAATAATTCGAATTCGGCAATATTCATTCACGTTCCGCTTGTTTGCCAGCATGTTTTAAATGTATGCCATTTTCGTTGCGCACCATCCCTATTGGACCCCATTTGAATGTTTTATTTTCGTGGGAATATGATCGCGCTTCAGTTGAATATCATAGTCGGCCTTTCGAGCTGACCCATCCGCTTCGAAATTAATTAACTGCTTTTAATTTAAGCTAATTTATGTAGTGTGAAATTCAAAGCTTCTTATTTATGATTTTATTTTTCTTCGTGACTGATTAATAATTTTGCGACTGATGCAAAGCTGGATATTGGAATTTGATTAGTTTAATGGAGAAGTAGAAAACGACGACCAATTTATTGATATTGGAATTAATTATACCCTACACCAATATTTGAGGGTAATTTGATATGATTATATGCCTAAAAATGTATGTTCTCCAACCAAGGACGAATTAGTTATTGTGCACCATTTGTCCATGGTAGAATCAAGGAGATAAAGTCATGCAATCATATGTTTACTAATTTCTCAAAAATGATTCATTTGACAACATCAGATTGTCAAAATTTGTATTTATAAATACATTGTACATACATACACAAATCAGAGATGGGAACCTGTTTTATGTAGTGAAATGTGACAAGGTAAATTATAGAAAATGCAGAGATGGGTATGATTATTTGAAAAGACTTTACCTTATTAATTTTTTTACCATGTATTTGTCCTTACCTAATCTGAAACTTATCTTAAACTTACAAACCTTCACAACATAGATAAATGAATATCTACAGAGTATTGAAGTTTGAGGATATTCAATAAAGGAAAGCGATTTTAATGTGATTTTGAACAAATTTACATCTTGGGATCCATGAAAACCACACCCGAGTTGTATATGATCTGTACCAGAACTGCAATAATATAAAAGTTTTACTACGTTAATAGATTTCTCCTTTATGATATCGAAAAAAAAATTGCAAAATTAGTAGATTCATGTAGGTTCTGGAACAGACCATAAGTTGTCCATTAAATTTCATCTGATATTGTTAATTTTATTGTGCAAAAAATTGCGAGACCATAGTACAAATTTCCACAGAGCTAAATTCTGGTGTCATTACAATGATCCGAAGTCGGATAAAAACTGCTCAAGGTCATAATTTTAGTTCTTTGTTGTGTCCCGTAAACGGCACCTTAAATTTTTCTACCGAAATGGTGTCAATGATTATTTGCGATCTAGCATGTTGACGTTTAAATCCGAGTCACATTTATTCACTCTCGGGATCGATTGGGCATTTAAAAGCTTATATGTAACGAAAAAACCCAAGCTCTCTGCCAAAATTTACCTTATTATTACGATTAAACTATTTAAAAGTAAAAGCTTGGCACATGGTAAAATTTATATTAAACTTTGGTCAAGAACGAATTTGGAAAATATTGGTCCATTGTTTCTCGTATCGCCCCAAAAGGTCTAAATTTTTCAAAAAACTTTTTTATAATATATATCTATAAAAGAGGAAAATGTTCGTATGTTGGTTTGTCTGTATGTTTGTAATTTATGGACTCGAAAACCGCTAAACAGATTTTCCAGAAAGTTTCCAAGTATACATCGCCTGAAAGTAACATAGGCTATATACATTTTTAAAATTCCACGTGGAACTGGAGAATCAGAGGTACGTCCCAAGAATTTAGATTTACATGCACATGTCTATAGTTCGATTACAGAAACAGTCTCCAAATTTCGAACGAGTGACGGGATTTGATCAGAAAATAAATTTGCCAAATTATTTTGAAAACGTGATGTTTGTCCGTTTTCAATGGAATTCGGAAAGAGTGACGGAATTTGGCACAATTATAAATGTGTCAAATGTGTCATATACAGAGTGAGATAAAAAAACTGCAACCAACTTCAGTCTGCTGTCATTTCTAAGATACTGTTAAACTTATACCAGTGACAGCTCATTATATTGTTTACAAGCGTTTTGTACGCATTTTGGTGAGAATTTTCCAGAAAAAAGTGGCTATCGTTAGACCACTCCAGCATTTAAATGTGAATAAATCTTTTGTGTCTCGTACCATCGCTCGTTATCGTGATACTGGTAGCGTAGCTCGACATGGTTCGAAAAGTAAAGAAGCGACTTGATCGAAATCCGCGTCACAGTGGCCGAAAAATGGTTCGTGAGTTGAACATATCGCAAATATTGAAAAATGAGCTCGAGGTAAAGACATTAAAATTCCAAAAAGTGCAAGAACTTACACCGCAAAAGAAAGAAAATAGACTCAAAAGAGCTAAAGAGTTGCTTTGCTTGGGCGAAAGTGGTGAACTGCCGAATTAGGTTTTCTCCGATGATAAAATATTCGTTGTCCAGCAGTTTGTAAACAAACAAAATTATGGTATTTACTTGCCAAGGAGGTCAGCTGAAAATGTGCACCTTCGATTGGCCACCAGAACTCAAGCGCCAACCATGGTGATGGTGTGGGCCACCATAACAGCCAATGGTCGCGCTTCAGCACACAATGACCACCAAAATCTCCGGATACCAATTAGTTGGACTATTGTGTCTGGACTATTTTGGAAAGCAAGGTTGGCATTAAAAAATACCAAAGTGTCGATCACCACAAGCAAACGTTTCGCCAAGAATGGGCCAAACTACTGCAGAGCAACATTCGGGCAGTGTGTGACGGTTCCATGGCCGTTTGAAGGCCATAATTCGTGCCAAAGGTGACCAATTCGAACAAATCTAAACTTATTCTAAAATTTGATGTTATTTCCGACATTTTTGATGGCTTTTGACTTTGTTGCAGTTTTTTTATCTCAATCTGTATAAATAATCCCTTTATTCTTGGCTGATATGGTTTTCAGGTGTCAAAAGTTACCCAAGACATCACAATACTTTTCTTAAGGAAAAGCGACTTTTTCGTATATATTTAATAAATTGTAGATTTTATTCTTACTTTAATGAGGTAAAATACCGAAATTCAAATATTTCTTTCGTGGTCATAACTGAAACACCATACGTCATGAAAATATCTTACGGAATTGGTGCTGAAAGGTGATAGTATTTTGAATTTACATGCCGCCAGATTTGCTCACAAACATATCGCATATTTCAAAACCTACAAATTATTGCACACTCTCCGATTGCTTTATTTCGCGTTAGGTCATGACGTGGTCGGCCACACCCCATACTATAAAACAGCTTTATTTTGTATTTTTGTGTGGCTGGTAAATAAATAACTCTAACCATAGCAAATTAGTTTTCTTTAACGAACAACAACGTAGTTGGTAGGATTCGAATACCAATTAATTTTTATTATTGTTTGAATTTTATTGGATGCAGGTTTAGAAATATGAATATCAGCCTATGTTTATGGTGAAAACTTTTACGGCGATAATTAACCAATCACGATACATCATTCGTATGATTTCATTTTGAAACTATCACGGCAGTGGGCTTCATTTGAAGCATATAATAATTATCTACGTTTTCGAACACATATCAGTGTGAAACGCTAAGATACGAGATTTGCGAAATATAGCAGAATGAACGCGGTGAACCATTTTTATATTATCGATAGAACAACAAACATAAGGAGACGGACTTATTAATTGGCATGTACAATACGAAAGTTATCGAACAACATTGAGTAAAATCTAGCAAGAAATCAGCTGTTTTGAACAATGAATGCGGAATACTTTTAAATTGTGTAGAAAATAGAATCAAGATTGCAATTTTTATGGTGAAAGTAAGTTGTCTAATGTTAATGTTTATTATCTGGAAAATAATTAAAATATTTAATTAATTGCTTAACATTGAGAATACTTTTGCCTCAATGCAGCTGTTGTTAAATCAGCTGATGTTACTGGGTAAATTTTACTGAGTAAATTTTTCCAGTAAAATTTTGCAAACTCTCAGCAACTTAACTGTCTGCAGGACTTTTGGTATTGAAAACAGGCCATGTATACGAAGACGTGGGTCTTCGTATAACCCCCCAGCTAGCATTTGGAAGATTGTTTTTGAAAAAATCACTTCGGTGAGTCTATTTCGAGTCCTTTTGGTGATCAAATTGATTAACTCACGTATACGACCGAAAATGACTCTCTTTAATGAGTAAAAAGAGGTCAACCAAAATACAACAACAAAATGTAGGGGAATCGCAAATCAATCATTGAGATGTGCAAAATGTGACTGTTTTTCCGTTGTTTATTATCATATTGCGATCATGTACAGATTGAAAAATGATTAGTTTTAAAAAGATCATGCAGCTGTTTGAAAAGTGATCGTATTGATGTATTTTTTATCATATTTCGCACAGACAAGTGCTTAAATGCTGCTTGTTTTTCTATGCATAACGGGTCATTTTGTTGCGTTTCTGGAGTGGCTATAAAAAAGTTGACTTATTGGTCCTTTATAAAAAGTGCGTGGAAGCGTCAACAGCAAAAGTGTTAAATATTAAAAAGTGATAAAAAAATATTAAAAAGTGTACGTTTATCTATATGTTTGTTTATTTATTTATTGTTTTTATGAAGAAAAAATGTCAGCAAGCCAATTTAAAAAAATAGAAAAGGCTAAAATAAAAAGGATGGCGAAAAAGAGGCTGAAAATTTAATTTTGGAAAAAATGTTATTTGCAGTGCAAAATGTGTACACAACCCAACCTGAAAATAGCGTTTTGAATTTATTAATGGAAATGCGTGCTGAAATAGCCTCATTAAAAAATGAGGTTACAGACTTGAAGAAGGAAATCAAGGACATGAAGGAGACTACAAAGCGTCAATTTGTCAAATTAACGGAAGAAGTTTTTACCGTCAAATTAGAGGCACGCAAACAACATGGATTAGATATGGTAATAGACGAACTTAATGACACTCACAAATTTCCGTTCAACGAGGTAAAGGATTTGCAAGCCTTCGATGAATTGGTGCAGCAAAATGAAACGATACTTAAACAATTTGTAAGTATACAAAATTGGGTCTTTGATTGATTAATTTACTACTTTGCAATATATTAATACTTATATAATTTTTGATAATCTATTTCCAGAAAGAATTTATTGCAAAAACCGGCGGTGAAGGACCCCCTCAATTCCTTCGGGCTGCCGTTCGAAAGATTTTTTCTGACAATTTAGCAAGCCAATACAGCTGGAAGGGCACCAGTGTAAAGCGAAGTGCAGAAAAGTGTTATTTAGTGACAGTAATCAAAAGTAAGTTTGTGTTTTTAACACGTATATAAAGAATTAGTAAAATGAAATGTAACAAAAAGAAAACGATCAGATTGAAGTTCCTGATTTTTTTATTTTTTTTGGTTTTTCTTTTTTTATTTAATTTTTTACTATATTTTTTACCACTGGCATTTACTAAAATACACCTGAAAATGAACTAGTACAAATTATAATTATAAAAGTTGAATTATTTTTATTTTAAATAAACTATTTTATAAACAAATATAAACAAATTCTTTTTTTCACGGTACATCCCAATATTTAGAAATCACGTACGAGATTCGTAGGATCGTAAACACTCATATAGGACTCATAAATGACTCGAATTTAAGACAAAGGCGACTTAAAAAAGACTCGTAAATGAATATAAATATGAGTGACATATGACACTTAAAAGACTAATAAATGACTCACTAAGGACTCATAAATGATCAAAAAATGAGTTAAAAAAGACTTGAAAAAGATTCACAAATTAAAAGTTTTAGCACAGTAAATGATTAAAAAACGATTCGAAAACGACTCGTAGAACGATCAGAAAATGGTCGAAGAAGGCTTTTAACTAATCTAGAGGAAGACTAATATGTGATTTATTAAGAAGAGTCGCGGGAGGTCACGTTTTTCTCCCGACAAATGTGTCTTTTATGATCAGAAAATGCGCGCATATTCCACATTTTTAATCGCGCGACCTGATCAAAAAAGACTGGAATGTGATTAAAAATTTCAAAAAATGCTGACTGGGCCGCATATAACGGTACCTGCCGATCCTCGGTATTTTGATGATTTTAGCGACATTATTTACCGGAATTGTTTCAAATTTGGTATTTGAAGTTCGTAATGGATAGTACAGCCTAAGACAGGAAATGGGCCATGTAGGTCCATGTCTTCGTATAGCCCCCATATAACGGTACCCCCGATATTCGGTATTTTTATGATTTTAGCTACTTTTTTACCGGAATTGTTTCAAATTTGGTATTTGAAGTTCGTAATGAATACTACAGCCTATAACAGAAAATTGTCTGTGGAGGTCCACGTCTTCGTATAGCCCCCATATTACGTTACCCCCCGATATTCGGTATTTTGATGATTTTAGCTACTTTTTTACCAGAATTGTTTCAAATTTGGTATTTGAAGTTCGTAATGAATACTACAGCCTATAACAGAAAATTATCTGTGCAGCTCCACGTTTATACTCCCATGGTACCTTCCTATATTCGATATTTTGATTTTTTTCAAGTTTCGCATTTGAATGTTGTAATAGCTTATGACAAATGTAGCCTATGCAGGTCCACTTTCTATACGATAACCTATATTAAATACCCTAATATACGGCTAAGTTCAGTATTTTAAGATTTTAACAGAATTTTTAACGGATTTTATTTTATTATTTTTTTTTTTTGAAAATTACCAAATTTGTTCCATATGGTGGAGGGTATTCAAAGTTCGGGCCGGCCGACCTTACAGCTGTTTTATATCTTTTTCTTTAGGGAATATTTAACGCGTAAATCTTTCAACGCGCGATGTATTTTTAGCCCTTTAGTGTTTTCAGTTTTTCTGTTGGTTTCTTAGTATTGCACAAGAGAATATTTAAGGCATAAAAACTGTTCGGCATGTCGGTTCACGTATTTTTTATATTTGGTAATTTGAGTTCTTAGTAAGACGAAATCATTCCTGGACCACGCTTTATTACGACCCTCATATTAAGGTATCCCCTGATTTCATCTATTTCCTATTTTTGATCTACCAATAATCACCTCCACTTGGTATTTTCTCACTCACCAGACCTTGAACCGAAAATTATCGTTTTCTGTTTTTGTCGATCAAATGGATTAATTTCGCTTCTCGAAGGTTCAATTCCGATATAACAAATCTTCATTACCAATCTTCTTTTTCAAATTAACTTTTTAACAGTAAGGAATCATATAGAAATACGTATTGTGCAGTGCAAACGCTTTATTCATTAAATGCGAATAGCCAAAGGGTGAGGTAAAATAACTGCAATAAAATCAAACGCTAAAATTTTTACATTTTTTAAAATTTGTTTGGACGAAAGCAACAAATGTCAGAAATAGCATCAAATTTTAGAATAAGTTTAGATTGATCACCTTTGGTACGAATTATGGCCTTCAAACGGCCAATGAAAACGTCACACGCTGCCCGAATGTTGCTCTGCGGTATTTTGGCCCATTCCCGACGAAGCGCTTGCTTGAGCTGATCGTCATTTTGTAACCATTCTTGGGTGGCGCGTGCTGAGTGCGATGCGATGGTGCTGAGTCCTGTTGGAATGTCCAAGGTCTGCGGCCAAAATATTTGCGAGCACAAGGCTTTAATTCACCCTCCGGAATATTTTCGCGATAATATTCGGCGTTTGTTCTGATGGCACCGTCGATTGGAGAAAACCAAATTCGGCAGTTCACCACTTTCTTTAGCTCTTTTGAGTCTATTTTCTTTCTGTTGCGGTGTAACTTCTTGAACTTTTTGAAATTTCAATGGCTTAACCCCGAGCTCATTTTTCAAAATTTGCCGAATGGAATATTGAGATATGTTCAGCTCACGAGCCATTTTTCGGCCACTGCGATGCGTGTTTCGATCAAGTCGCTTCTTTACTTTCCAAAACATTTCTGCTGATGTTGATGTTTTCTTCCGTCCACTTATTGACGTCGGGCTACGCTACCAGTATCACGGTAACGAGTGATGGTACGAGACATAGAAGATTTATTCGCATTTAAATGCTGGAGTGCTCTAACGATAGCCACTTGTGGTTTTCCAGGTAAATATAAAAAAAAATTGACACTATCACGCTTGAATTCCATCAGGAATAACTTTTTTTCTGAATAACTCTCACCAAAATGCTTTTGTACGTTTGTAAACAATATAATAAGCTGTCAGTGGAATAGTTTTAGCAGCTGTCGGACGAGTGGCTTAAAAATGACAACAGTCAGAATTTGGTTACAGTTTTGAATCTTACCCTGTATATAATTAGCTGAGTTTTGCAAAATCAGGTTTTGCAATAATTTAATTATAATAATAGCAATTAGCATCTCATTTAGAGAGTTTCTCAAGACCTCAAATATGTCATAATAAGTTGTTCGACATTATTTATTAAATAACTTGTATTTATATATTGATCTATTCCTCCTAAATGCCCCAATCAATATCAGTCATTGTTGTTAACTTTAAAAAGCAACCATATTCGGGTTGAAACGAGTCTTACTTGCAGAATATTATTTGATTTTCTATGAAAACTTACGTGCCACCGAATTTGCATACCCGGTGCTGACTATGATTTACCCTACAATACTATAATATGAAATCATTTTGGATTAGAATATTGGGATACATCATTTGGCTAGTTTAAAATCGTTCCATTCAATCAATTATTCCATATTTTTCATAAAATGACGTTCGCGTTTCAAGAACGTTTTAAGTATTTCATGAATATGCATGCTTCTTAAGCAGGGGAAGTTAAATATTTGTGTACGCTACGTCGAATTTTAAGTAACGCATTTGAAAAAGTTATTTGGAAAGATGTTTTCCATTCGTAATCACGTTCGTATCGGCATGCGGAAACAAGGCCTTAGTATTTTTACCGATTTTGAAATATCACTCACACTAATTTTAATTTTAAACATTAGGTGGTGTAGGGTACACAGACTTCGGTAAGGACAGCACCGTTTTTATACCCTACACCACAAGGTGGTCAGGGTATTATGTCTTTGTGCATTTGTTTGTAACAGGAAAAAGGAAATGATATAGACCCATAGTTCCTTTTGATGATATGCATAGAATCACATTCTGAGTCGATTTATGCATGTCCGTCCGTCCGTCTGTCCATGTATTTTTGTAAACAAAGTACAGGTCGCATTTATTGCCCTATCCAGATGAAATTTTGCACAAATCATTTGTTTGGCCCAAGGACGAACCCTATTGAAATTGCAGATAATCGGTAGATATAGCTCCCATATATATCTTCGTCCGATTTGCTTTTTATTGTGCACCAAACGTGTAATATCAGTCCGAATAGTATGGAAATTAGCACGTACGATCAGATTGGACCTCAAAATAAGTATGTCAAATTTGATCGAAATCGGTTCAGATATAGCTATAGCTCCCATATATATTGTTCATCCGATTTGTTATTTTTGTCCTCCGCAGCCGTAATATGCACTCTGTAACAACAATATTCAGGGAAATATATCAAATACAGCTCAGAAATATCTTTGCCAAATTTTATCGAGATCGGTTCCGATTTGGAAATAGCTCCCATATATAACTTCGTCCGATTTACCTTGGATTGTGCGTGCACCAAACGTCTAGTATTTGCCCAAATTGGATGACATTTGGCACTTACGACCGAATTGAGTTTAGAAGCTAGTATGTCAAATTTGGTGAAGATCGGTTCAGATATAGCTATAACTTCCATATTTACTGTTCATCCGATTTGTTATATTTGTTACCCACAGCCGTAATATGCACTCCGTAACAACGATATTCAGGGAAATATATCAAATACAGCTCAGAAATATCTTTGCCAAATTTTATCGAGATCGGTTCCGATTTGGATAATGCTCTCATATATATTTTTACCCGATTTCAAATTAATTGTGCACCAAATGGCAATACAAGTCCGAATTTAAAAGATGCAAATGCTTCGGCATATTTAGTTCTTTGAACTTTAAATTATAATTAAAATCATAGGGTGTATGGTTGTATTCTCCCATAAAAACTTTTAATGGTTATGCGGAGCTCTACTAAATTAGTAAAGTGGTGTAGGGTATCATAAGGTCGGCCCGGCCCGACTTTAAGACTTTCTTTACTGTTTTTTTTTTTTTTGCAAATTCATTGTAATGATTGACACATTGTTGCATTTATTTCTCCCCTCCATGATATGAATTGGAGTATCATCGCGTTGGCATGTCTTCAATAATTGTTTTATGGTTTTGATTGTTATCTCATGCAACGTAGCGTATAACACCCCCATTCCATTTGTGGCGTTGTTCGTCTATAATGATTA